TCATGAAACCAATAACCTATAGCATTTTTTAACCCGGTTACTTATTCATTCGCCTATTTGTAGATAGTATTCTCAACCGAAGCTCTATTCCTCCAGGTTATGGGACCCTTAACTGCAACGCGTATTTATCTTGTTAATTATTTATATGTCCAACTCTAGGCACGTGGCCACACTCCTTCATGAACATTTGTGTTGTTGGTAATTTTTCATATGTCTAATCCACACTTGAAGGTTAGAGTTTTAAATACGCACGGCACTATTTGTTGGGAATCCAGACTTATGGGGAACCTGGATTGTAATTACATATTACAGCGTATGACATGGTGGGAGTGTGTAAAAACGTATTGCAATCTGAGCAGTCGCTGCGTTGGTGTGGCTTGTTAGCTTGTGTATATATCTTGTAGCTTCGCTTATGTGTGGGCTTCGAATACGGACACGAAGTTCAGCACCATCAATGCGGTTTGATTGACGAATCTCATTGACTGTGCTGAACATTACCGTACATAAAACGTAAATTGCAATTGACCTCGCTGTGATGACGCATGCGTTCTGGAATACGAAAAAAAAGACATGCAACAAGCGCACTGCGTACACAATATGCTAATAACTTTAACGAGGTTATGACGTAGGCATTTTTCGTCCAATTATTGACAGAAAGCATTTATAATGAAACTCCGGAATCACGTATGTTCAGTCTTGACTCCCACTGTGTCTTTTGTGGTTATTTGAAGACTGTACACGCTTTCTATCTTACTAAACTAGTCACCGAATTTAACAAGTATCTCCGCTTTTTACACTGATCGCCAGCATGGATGTTCGCAAATAGGTTTCGATTGTATACAGCGCCACCAGTGGCTGTCCCCGGCTCCATGCGTCAAGAGACGGTCAGAGATAATTCCCGAATAACAGTTTTTCCCAAGAATTTTCGAAGATTTCTTGAACCTTTTACATTCGAAATACCCAACCCACTTTTAGACAATTAAACGTGTCAATATTGATACCCACTTCTATTCTACCAACTGGGGTGAAAAGGATACCCATTAAGGCGGGACATACTCGTATAGATTTTCTATGTGAGAGCCCATGGCCTTAACCCAGAACGTTTTCTGGTCATGTTATATATTCATATATCTTATTTTAGACATTATTTTTACAGTAACTGAGGTTCTATTCGTTTATGTTATGGAGTCCATTCACTGGAACATTTTGTAACCTTCTTAGTTATCCATATGACCACAGTCCCTCTATAGATAGAGGGACTGTGGTATGGCAATTACTGATAACGTACAGTGAGGTTCCATTCCTTCAGGTCATGGACCACTCAACCGGGAACGTCTTGTTACCCAGGTAATTAGGTAAAGTGTCCATGTCAGACGATGTTTCTTCAGTTTACGAGCCAATTCGAATGCATCATGTGGTGATTTTGTTAATTATTTATCCTGCCTAAAAACAGAAATTGTTCGTATTTCAATTCAGGTACAAACGTGAGTCCATTCTTCAAGTAACAAGAAATCACAACTGTGTAAGATAAACATATCATCTCAGCGTATTTCCCATATATGCCCCCAACGGTTACTGTATATCTATATAGACAAGCATTTTCCTATATTTTTTCTAATCTGATGAAAACAAAATATTGGTTTGAGGTCTTTACATTTTTTTAAATTAAATTACATATTTATTCATTTTTTTCACTAAACGTTAGTTGTTAGGAGTTTTTTGTTGTATTACTACTGCCCCGCCCCACGTTGGACATAAATCAATACAAAACAGGTGGTATCATATCCTGTTTTAAACATACCTTTAAAATATGACTCTGTAGGTAGATAACTATTGGATACAAAGTGTAACTTATGAATAAGAACATGATAATGATTATATTCAACATAAATATTTGTTGATTGATTACTGAGATTGTTCTAAAACGAAATGACATGCCATCATCAATATATATATTAATCGCAATATTATTAATAATTTATCTCAAATAAACAAAATATATATGGCACAAATTAATCTGTATAATGTGGAAATGTAATGGCCAACATTATTAAGGATATATTTTACACCCGGATGCGGACAGTACCATAGTTTACAATAAAAGCTGCGCTAAAACGATTCCCGGGGCATCAAGGGACATTCCCAGACAGTATATTTTATAATGACGTCAATGAGAGAGCTCCTGAGAGAAACACAGACGGAGAATTATAACGAAAGTTACCAGAGCTGAACTTCCATTGATGAGAATTACAGTTTCTCAATTGTCCGTACACGTAGGACACCTGCACGAATCAATAAAGTAGAGTGCATAAAGTGAATTATGTCATTCAGCAAAACTTATGCACTAATTAATCTCTGGCCATATGTTATTCGCTACGACATATGTGCATTGTGTGATTGGACAAGCAGTGATGAATTGTCACGTGTGGCGTTCTTGTATGTAACGTTTTCTAAACCGTCCAATAACTTGGCCAGCGCTGTATTTGAAAACAGTTTGGTTTGAAAACTACGAGACTTGGTTTGGGTGGTCATTTGTCATAATAATAATGAGTTACGAAATGTCTCAAACTAATGCACACACTCAGTGAAACTATACAGATATTGCACATTTTGCAATGGAAACCTTCGTGTTAGTGACAGAAGACTCCAGACAGTCAAAAACTAGAAACAATCGTTTTTTTTTGGAAATCAAGCTTATCCTGATTAAAATTATATACATATTATTAAAGTAACTTGTCCTACCTGGGCGCGAACTTGATAACCTGTGGTATAACATCCGGCATTTGGTTTCTTTCGCTATCCGTCTTGCATGAATAATTCATGCTATATGCACAGTGTCCCAGAAACGTAGTCTGTCAACTTTGCAATCTACATCTAGAAAAGTCTCGACAATGTTCTGGTTTCGTAAAGTAGAAATATCATCGTAAAAGCAATATCCACATTCGGAGTCCAAACTTATATTCGTCAGCGGGTACGAACAGTATAATTTGTATTCAACTTCAATTAACAACAATCGGCTAACTCGAGATATCAACGGACTAATTAAATGTATGTATATACAGGTAGACACAATAATATACAGCATGAGCTTGCTATATTTGGCGAGGATGTCAACCTTGTATGAAGTGAACTGACTGAACTATCGAAAACACCTAGCTTCGAAATCTACATATAAGAGACGGACATTCGATGCGACGTCATGCCGACGTCATACGTTACTATCGTCCTTACAAAGGTGTGACGTATCATTAGAGTCGATCGCGAATTTTAGCTTACAGATTGAAGTGTTTTCTGAGTATAAATATAAAACAGTAATAAGTAATTTAGTAGGTAGCATATAATTCCGATTAATTAGAGCGACAAGACTGGCTCAATGAGACGCACAGGGTGTTAAATTGGATTATTTCAACGCTTTGTTGGTCGGGAGTAAACGTGAACAAGGTGGAAACGACTATCGACTTCTGCTGAATGCGTAAATTTCAGGGACGGAAAAAAATAACACCTCGTCAAGGTAATACCCTTGTCCAATTAACACGAGAATGTCGGCACCGAGTCTGCACGCACTTGCCTTTCAGCCGTACGTACACGCACATCGAGGTTTACTACCAAGGTGGGGTTTTGTCACTACATCACATATTAGTGCAGCTATGCGAAATCAAATGACGGGAAGGGCGGGGGAATCATACTGTGCATTCAATTGCCGGTCACATGGCGCCCTCTGTATTACAATATTATTCCGCGCCTGTTTCTAGATACTAGTAGTTATTAATAACTAGCTGTAGATCACCGTGTAACGGTATTTCAGATACGAATAGAGTCAATTTCAGTGATAAGTTTCATCAAAAAATCTCGAAACGTGTTGGTATCATATTTAATAAGCACGTATATCACACACACAAACTACCACTAGCCAAACTAGTATAGTATAAGTTGACACTGAGTTGTGAAAGTTAGGGAGTCAGAGAAAAGATAAATGTCCGAAAGATGACACAAAATATATGATTCTTGAAAAAAACCCATATAATTGTACCTGAAATACTAAAAAATATATACCTAAAGCTTATCTCGTCTATGGCTCGCAAATTAATAAATACAACGTCGCATGACATGAATTACACTGCGCTTGCGCAACATCAACATTACAACCGAAATTAGGCGCTGGCGCTGGAGAACATCTAGAAAATTGGAGACACTTCATTCATAATTTCAGACTTAACAAACAGGCGCCCTCGATATCAGCACAACAGCCATTCTCCCTGAAGTAATGGAAACACGTTTGATCCTCTCTCTACAACGTACTCCATTAGAATCGGCGAATGATACTCCGAGTCCTCTCGAGTATATGTATATAGATATCACCGAGTTTCCTTGGCAACAAACTCATGGTTCGGATATATTGGGGGTTGTCAACCATGTCAATGTGTATCCCATGGGAGACCGTTACAATGCCGTGCTGTTGTGTATCCTGACACGCAACAAAGTCTCCTTTCATAAATATCATTTAGCACAGTTATCCGAACATACTGCGGTTTATGTCCACCCGCTGTTAGTGTTGGCCACACGAGTATGGAGGTATCTAAAATAAAAAAAAAATCTATCAGTTATGAATACTTATTTGTGTATTTTACTAACATTTCTATTTAAAAGCATATTATGTCGCTATCATAGAGCATTCAATTAACTAATGCGGATGGAACTGATAATTGTCACATGGGGTGTTTGCCTTTATAACCCATAATCCAATCAGCGAACATGCCTACCTCTCCACTAATACGTCAGTTCCAATTCGTCGGACACACCAGTGGCGGCTACCACTGGAGTTAAGAGCTGTGTGGCTGTACACACTCACTCACCATCGTTCTAGACTCAAGGATACATCATCATTGTCATTATTCGTCTTATTCATTAATGCTACTGCTGCTGAAAGTGTGACTGTGTAGTTGTTTTCTTTCCTCACCGCGCATAACTTCTCACATTCATTGCTCCAATTCGTAGCCACTATGCCGGTCAGCGTTTTTGAAAGTTTGAAAAGTCGTTTTATTGGAGGTGGACAAGATGCAAAAGACCACATGCAGATTGGGCTAACAAGGTACGTAGGATTGTACATATATGGATTTACACATTTATATTCCCTATTGTATTGTATTCTACAGCAATATCTGGCAAGTTACGGAAAGTGCCGTAGTCTTGTACCTTTTAATAATATCCCTGTTGGAAGCAATGATAATGAAAATATAAGCCAGGCATCGCAGCTTGAGTGTATCGAATTAAATAAGATAAAAACAAGAATGTTGTAGTTGTGTGTTACACCAACATACTACACGGCTCATTGCGTTCCTCTAATGTAGAAGTAGTTACTCGTGCCAATGCTCGATCCCGCACAGGAAACAAAATAGAATTTTCAGTAAATTAAATTGCCATCCTGTTCCATGATAAATTGTTTAATGTTCAATTTGAGTAAAACCGAACAAATTATCATTGTGCTGTATTCATTAAGCTCATGGAAAAAAAATACCGTATAGCCTAATTATAATAATTATTATAATCTCCAAGTCCTCGTGTAGTTCATATTTAACCCTCTACGGGTAGATCAACAATAGCCCGAGCTTGTGCAAATTAGATTTTTTAATAACTTCTTCACGATAATAATAATGATAGCATTGACGGCGCTATTTCTAAGAAGAGCTTTGTATAGTGTCAGCGTATTGTTTCATAGTCGAGCGTAAACAAATGTCATCATGGCCGAAATTCACGGGTGAAGGTCATATGCGCATCTGACCACGTTGTTTTCATCTTTAAATGTGACAATTAGTTTTTCCACCGTGGTGTTTGGTTTTTTCTTCTTTTTTAAGTCGCGGACTCAACATTGCCCTTCATCCGCATAACGTGACACACACGCTGAAACTGAAGGGGGAAACTCGATTTGGTAGCCTAATGGAGTGAAGGTGTATGGTTTACTCACGGGAGAATTTTCTTGATGGTTTTCTAGGTGTTAACACTGCATCTATTACACGTACAGATACGGCTTGGCAGAATTAAAGAATAGCATATTTAATCGGGCATCAGATAGTGTCATATAGATATACTATAATAGATGAGACTCACTATTTACTGAATTTTAAAAATGGCAATTTAATGCAGTCCGAAAGAGATATCCCTGGGAAGAATATCTCGTCTAGGCTGTGTATACATAAAACATATTTTCATATCAATTCATCGTGTGTAGAATATGCGTCTTGTTTTTGTGGGATTTAAATATTTTAACAGCCATAATGACGTGGATTTATTTTTCATGCAATATTTTATGACTGTATTTTAATTTGTGGATATTTTCCTTCGATGAAGGGACGACACTTGAATGATTATGAATATGAACGGCGGCAGAATCATAATATGTATTAATACTTCGATGTCTATTTTCATCGCGTTGTCTGTAAATATCTATGCATTCTCATCATCATTGTCGCTACGTGCGTGAACGAGGGCTGAATATCTAGTCCGTCGTCTCAGTGTTTACACTTTCCCCGGTGTATCTAACTCATCGTGCTACTCGGAGAGCTTGTCGTATTTACCATGCTTGAAGGAGAGCTGGTTAATTAATTAAGAGTATATGAGCAACAGAAAAATTTGCTTGATTACTAAAAAAAAACCTCCCGGAGTAGTTCTGACGACGTGAATGGTAAAGTGTATTAATTAACCCACTGAGCGCTTAAATAGTATATGTTTATATTCTTAATTGCATATTAAGATTTCGCTTGAATATTTTGAATTGAGCATTATTTTTATTTTTATTCGAATTACGTAATGAATATGAATAGCAACCAATAAAAATAATCTGACGAATATATCTTGAAATTATCACAAGTGTTATTAAATTTCGAGTTCTTGAAAATGCCCGGAATGGGGTACATATATACCTGCACCGACGGTGATTCTTACTTCATCGTCGTATATTACTCGATGATTACCAAACCTAATCGGGAATTCGTGGATGAGTAGATGACTGGTGTGGTCACAAAGTTCTAAATAGTCACCTGAAAACAAGCAGACAGTGTGTATGTACAAATATATGATCGATACACATTAGTCCTACAAATTTGCGAATAAAATTCATTGTTTACTACTCAAATATGTGCAGAGTAATATCGATGTTCCATTACTAGTAAACTTGGCTTGTACTCTGATTGGCTAGTTTTAAAATGCTTTTCGATTGACCAACACGTAAAAATACCAGTATGCCATATCTTTCGTGTTTGTCCATTTAACTTACGACATTGACATCATCGGTCATATTGGTTTAAGGAATAACAGCTATTGTTAAGACGTTATGCTTGATAATGTCATAATGTTGACTCTTCAGCTGTTGGTCGATTACGTTTATGAATGATTTCGACAACAACGACGGTCACCTAGCAACACATGTGACACGCTTATCGCTCTCAAGAATAAAGGAAGCCTGTGCTTATTGTCATCGTGTATGCGTGCGTGTTTGAATTCAGCAGTGTAATGGTTGACTGAGATAAATCAATCTGAAAACAATATTAATAATTATTAGCTGAAAACTATGAAATTACAGAGCCACATAAATTTCACTTATTATTAGCGTATTGTTTGCAGTACAGTAACACAAGGTTATCAGGTTTTCTAAGAACTCCAGATGAATGTACTCATCAACAATATTTTTTCATATTTTCTACTCAAGACATTGTGTCTTGGCAACCTTTTAAAAAGGCGTTTCTTTTCAAGTTAAGAACTCGTGTTTTGTTTATGATGCTGAATGCATACACGTGTAGAATCATAGTGTCACATGGATATGACAGGTACGACTGTGATACTCCCTGTGTACTGAGGTAAATCCAATTCAATGCGTGTTAACGATGTATTACAAAACACGAACACATTGCCCATACTCACGTGATTAAAACAAGCGCGTAAACTAAACATAATAGAAATTACATTAAAGTTTGAACACATGCATTTCCCTGCTATTCTTCGTCTACATTCAATTTTTCATGCACTCGTTTTGGGATCCTTTATTCATGACAGGATATTGGTAGTCCGTTCATTCATCGTACAACCCTTATTTTTACATCGGTCGATATATCTTGTTTTTTGAACAAAAGTCGTTCCATTCCAGTAAGTCCGCAGGTGAACGCTGCAACGTAAAACACTTTGAACATTCCGACCCTATATTCTCATCGCCATCTTTTAAAGGTGAACTGACTGTTCTGTGTGGCGAGATAGCATTGTTCTACTTAGTTCATCATCTGAATTCATCTCATTGGATGTCAAGACACACTACTACTTTGTTACTTTATCACAAAATTAGTTCCCGTTTTTATTATATATCAGTGTGACCGTGAACCTTGAATAAATTACGCATCGCCAAAAAAAAAATGCCGCTTTCCTCAATGATTGACGACAAATGAATAAATCACTGGATTTCCAATTAGCAAGATAAACGGGCCACGGGATGCGAAGAGTTCACCAACTTGCCCTTTTTGTTGACAGTAAGCCTTCTTCTGTTGTTGGTGGTGTCGATTCATTGTCAAACTTGTACTTGTTTTTCACACTATAACTTGGCTTGAAGTGATTCTCAGCTAATATTTTACAAATGATAATAGATTGGTGAATATATTCGAATATGCCAATCGTCTGACATTATATGTCAATGTTGGCCATCGAATTTTACTATACTGAAAATATCTTGTAAAGATTGGCCGTAA